CCTCTATTTTCACATGATACCAACAGGAAAATTCCACCAATCATGTTTAGTTTTCTAGCAATTCTTAATTGGCATTTATTTGTGAAAATAGCTTGAGATGAGCTTTAATGGAGGAGCAACGTGATCAGTGAGGGTACTGCAGTATGTTTTCTAATTTTGTTTACTTAACCATATTCAGAATTTACTTACCCGATTATTCGGGTTCGCGCCATGTAGGATTCATTGAAGAGGTAGTAGAACTTCTCATTTTCGGGACCGAATCCGAAACCTTTAATTAAGTACGACAAAAAAATGGTATTCATCCCACCAAGCCCATTGATGAGTTTGTTCTCTATTTTTGAAATTATAGAACTTGTTACTGAGAAACACTAATTTACTTTTTCATGGACCAATTGGGGTAGTAGGGAGTTGAGAGAGTGACCCTTGCAATTGAGAATTTGAGATAGAGCCATTTATGGTTGTCTTCAACAATTTTAGAAAGAGTGGTCCAATTTGAATTGATTACTTATCAACGGACCTAGCAATTTAATGCGGTTAATTGGTCATGAATCTAGCTTAGATTACATATCTATCAAACATCTTCTTTCCGTATATTTTTGCTGGACCAAGTTTATACTACGAAATAAAAACAGAAGAGAGAGTAGATTATTAAACAACTACCCATCCTTCTACGGATAATCTACTCTTTGAATCTTACCTTAGAGTAGATTAGATATAAGCTCATTCACTAAAAGAAAAAGAAAAAGAAGAACATGATATGCCCATTCAAAAGGGGTAACCTAGTAGTGGTCAAAGAAGCCAAGTAACAATTCTAGAAACCAATATTCAGATCTTAGTGAAGACAATACTAGATGAGTTCTTCTCATCTGCTTTAATCCGGTAGGGAAAATCATCCTATATTGTGCTAGTTGAAGATAACATGTATTTGAGTTACATACAAGTCAGTTCGAATACCACCATTCTTTGGTGGAACTTAAAAATTAGGATCTATGAGGCCTGAAATAATCTTCTTATACAGTAATCCAACCATTGCATTCATAACTGATCAATATCCCATGAGGGAAGACGAATTAGCATATCTTATAGTAACAGATACCTAGAATGAGAACCAGTAATATTGGAAGATCTCATCAAATTCACAAGCTAATACCATTTAGTTCAGGACTTTAAAAAAAGAATCTTTTGGGTAAATGAACAAGAATCACACAAAGAGGAAGAAACATAAAAAATAATTGTATTAGTACTCACACATCAAATGTCTAGAAATGCACCTTCTTACTCACATGAATTGAAGCTTCTAAAATGTTTTTCCTCAATTCAAGCAAAGCTCAAGAAAGAAATTAGGCACAGGTAAGCATTTGAGATAAAACAAAAGAGCATGAAAGTTGAAACAAACAAAGTTAAGGCATAGAAAATGGTATTCTGCAAACATCTTAATCAAGAATGCAAGATAGCCGAGACAACGTTTGAAACAAAGAAGCAACATAACATTGCTCAGATCATATAGATTAAATTTATTTATTCAAAAGCCCAAAAGCTCTGTACTATAGGATGCACAACTGCATAGAAGACTTCCTCAGAAATGGAGAAATATATAGAGTTTCTATACTTATGAAAGGAGGATAACTTCAAATACACCTAATGATTTGTCCTTAAGCTAGTGACATCCAAAAACATTATCAATACCAATAACCGAAGAACTTGAATGGCAATTTCTTCCGTCTTTCATCTCAAGATGATTTTTGTTGCCTACATGAGTAAGTACATTCTGGCATTGTGTACAGCCACAATGATAATAGGTGCATGCACCACTTCAAAGTTCACAAATATACCAATTAAGCCACAGAAATGAATTATATGGACACGATATTTGATTTATTGAGGACATCAAAGAGCAGGTATACAAATAATACTACCATTTGCAAGGTTATTTACAGAGGTAAAGACAAAAAAAAGAAGTTTCTTATTATTTATTTTTTTTGCAAATGACTTGCAACTGGAAAGCTTGAATCAGCCAGGTAAGAGAACATGAAAAGGTTCTTATGAAACTCTTGAAAGTACATTTCCTACTGATCTGCCTAAATAAAAGCTCAGAAATATCAACGCCATACGGGGGAGGGGGGAGGTGGGGGTTAAGGCATGCTTGGAAGATTGAAAATGCTAAGAATGCAAATCAGTTTAGCCTCCTCCTCCTATGTGGGCGTGAATCTCCACTATCCACATCTGAAACTCTGGAAGTATCATTTCTTCTTCTGGAAGATGATGTAGAGAGGGACACCCTAGAATCTATTTCAGCAGCAGTATCCACTGTCTGACTCTCTGAGTGTATACCAGCGGCAATGCTCGAAACAGAATCTCTATCATCCACTGGTAGAGGCTGCTCCTGATTCCTCTCCACATTGTTACTACGGAAGTATGGGTCAGCCACCCTTCCAGCAGAACCAAAGACAGAATCAAGATCGGCAAAATTAGCAGCTCGATGTGAATTTGATCTATGGAGTAACAGAGAGGAAAGACGGCGGTTTTCCCACACATCTGAGTTAGTAGGACTGGTTTGTGTCAAGTCAACCACATCATCCGAAGGCAGTACAGGATTCTGTTCTCTGCGCATTCCCCTGGAAGTAAGAATACGGTTGAGCAATGAGCTGCTTCGCTCAGGTGATTCATGAGAACCTTCAGGATTCTGCTGCTGCAGCTGAGACAAATCAAATCTATGGCCAAGACGGCGAATCATTTCTTCCATTGGAATGGTGAATGCTGTCCTTTGAATAGTTTGCCTCCAGCTCTCGACACGTCTTGCTTGAGGCCTATGAGGGATTTTCAGAGTTGAATCCTCTTCAGGCTCCGGTACATTAGTTCCACGGCCATAAATTGGGATTACATTCTTCATAGTCACTTCCCCTTTACAAACAGGGCATTCCTTTGCATCCGAATGGAGATGCAACCATCGATAAAGACAGGCCCAGCAAAACAAGTGACCACAACAAGTCACAACAGGTTCTTTGGACAAGTCCAGGCATATATTGCAATCAAAGAAGCTTCCCTCCTCGCTATTACCCTTTTCATTATCTTCCTTTTTCCCCAAAATCTCTGTCACCTCAGAGGATCTCTTCTCAGTAACAACACTAGCATCACCTGTCTGTGATTCACTCCTACCAATGAATTCCATTGCAATACTTCTAGCTTCTGCAGGGACCGGAATGTTTCTTAAAACTGACCGCCATCTGCTCCTCCTTTGCCTAACAACTTCCCTAAATCGATAACCATCTAACAAGTCCTCCAAATTCATATCCTCAATGGGAAATGATGCAGGAACAGGCTCTGAATCATCATTAGGACTTTCGACAGGTCCCAAATTCAGATCAAGATTCATTGCATTAGGCGTACCGTCCCCCATGGAAATTCAACCAGTACTCCTAACACAAAAACCTCCAATTTCCACGCTAAACGAGGCGAAATATCCGACCTTTCTCACTATACCAAATGAAAATCAAGATTCCTCTTTCTCCTAATCAATTTAATGAAAAGCCTCAATCTTCACCTTCATCCAAAAACTTATACTACTATTCCACTAAGAAAATCAACCCCAAATTCAGGCAGCTAAATTTGAGCAGAAAACCTAACTTTATCAGGCCAGAAGACAAAAAAATTGAAAACCCAAATAATATATAAAACAATAAATCAAAACCAAGAGCAATTGACGCAGGATCCTAAGAAAGGTGCAATCTTTTTTTTAGGGTAAATCGCATTAAGAATAAAAATCAACAATTTATCAAAAGAAAAGGAGAAACCAAAAGGGCCACGAATATTGTGAGCCTAGATGAGAATCAATTTAGATAATTAGCTCAAAATCCATAATTTAGAACCGTTTTTTGAGAATTATAAATTAGGGTTTTGGTTTAACTGTTCAAAGCAACAAAGTAAACAAAACGGGAAAGAGAGAGAGAGAGAGACCTTGAGCCAAGATTAGATTTTGATGAGAAAAAGCAGCATATATTTGCTGTTATTGCTATGAAATTGGTGCAGTTTTCTGTGGATTTTTCATCTCGAGTGAATTAGGGATCTGGTTCACTGAGCTAGCTATAGAGATTAGAGAGATTTTTTTGTGTTAAATGGGTTAAAGATCCGGCCCGATAGAGGAGAGAGTGCCAGCTTAGATACAGAAAGGGGAAATTTTCCCTGCATGTAAGCAGTTTTGGGTAATTTTCAGTATCCAAACGCTGCTCTATTTGACTTTGTGGGTTCAATTTTCTTGCCATATTATCATCCACGCACCCAAGCGGGTCCCACTTCTTGCTATGCATTTGTTTTTAATTTTTTGGATTTTAAATTTCCGTCGCACTTTAGGTACATTAAAATAAAAATACTTCCTACTAGGATTTTTTTATTTTTAAAACTTGAACTTGTTGAGAATCACAATATTTTCAATTCTCGGTGTGAATTTGACAAAGGAAAAAAAATTATGGAGGCTATAAAGTCTCACAGAGAAATGTTGAAGAAGAAAGTTTTGTGTGTATCAAATCAAAAGAGTAAAGTAATGTCCAAATATTTAGACCTCTCGGTTAAACTCGGTTTTCTCAGAAAAAGACCGAGACACATGGAGCAATCGTGACGACAATGATTTCTATGATGGATTGAATTGTGGTCGTCTAGATATAACATAGGCCGGCCGTGTTGAATATTTCTTGTCATGTGGAAAGAATATCAGTTAGTTATATTTGTTAGATTGTAGTGAATAGAAATATGACAAGTGTAAACACAATATTTTCTTTACAACATATACTTGTATAAAGCCAAAGGCACTGTACATAATCAATATAACTAGAATGAATTTTTTTGTTGAAAATTCCATCTCTAAATCTAATATGGTATCAGAGCTTTGAGAATTTTCTTGCTTATCTTCATCTTTCCTTTACTCTCTTTTTCTTTATCTTTGTAACGACCTAATCAGTCGTTTTGAATATTTGTATTCCGTTCAGCTATTTGAAGTCTTGAGCAGCATCGTATGATGTATTATGACTTGTGTGAATCGTCGGTTTTGGTTTTCAGGTTATTCAGAATTGATTTGGAAGAATGAATTTCATGATTGAAGCTTTAGAGTTGGAAGAGTTGGCCAAGTTTGACTTTTTAGTATTTAACCTCAGATGAGAGTTTTGATGGTCCCGTTAGGTTTGGATGATGATTTTGGACTTGGGCATATGCCCGAATTTGCATTTGGATATTTTTAGAAGACTTCAGCGCTAATTGGCGAAAGTTAAAAATTTGAAGGTTTAGAAAGTTCATAAGTTTGGCCGAGAGTTGACTTTGAGGATATCAGATTCAGATTATGGTTTCGGAAAATTGAATAGCTTCGTTATGTCATTTGGGACTTGTGTGCAAAAGTTGAGTTCATTCCGAGTTGATTCGATAAGGTTCGACACGAGTTTTGGAAGATGAAAGTTCAAAAGTTCATTACGTTTGATTTGAGGTGCGATTCATCGTTTCAATATTGTTATGCGTGATTTGAGGCCTCGAGTAGATTCGTGATAGGTTATGGGACTTGTTGGTATATTTGTACGGGGTCCCGAGGGGCTCGGGCGTGTTTCAGATTGATTTCAGACCATTTTTCTTCATGTTTTCATTGCTGGTTGCTACTGGTTTCTGATGCCTCGACTGTCCTTCGCGATCGCGAAGATTGGTATGCGATCGCGTAGAGGAAATCTGGAGCTAGGCATTTTCTTCATCGCGGTCACGATTGGATGGCCGCGTTCGTGTAGAGTTGGGATGGTCTTCATCGCGTTCGCGTCTGCTTCTACACATTCGCGTAGTGTTTGGGGCTGAGATGGGCAAAATGCTGGTTATCTCTTTGTGTTCGCGAGGTTGTTTTCGCGAACGCGTAGTTTTGCCACTATTGTGTATCACGTTCACGCGTCTATTGATATGATCGTGTAGTGCATTTTCAGGAGCAGTGCTTTTTCTTCTTCGCCCGTGATGGTATTTCCACGATCGCGATTCATTGATTCGCTCAGTGATTATAAGTACTCTAATTTTGGGGGTTTCAGCCATTTTAACATATTTGGAGCTATGGAGTTCGGATTGAGACGATATTTGAAGCGATTTTCACCAGCTGGATTGGGGTAAGTGTTCTCTACTCATTTTTGATTTTATATCATGCATCTATCTTCGTTTTTGGCATTTCATTGAGGGTTTCACGAGAGAAATTGGGGGGTTTTGTCTAAAGTTATATAGAGTAAATTTTTGAGTTTTGAACATCGATTTGGAATCAAATTTGAGTGAAACTAGTATGGTTGGACTTGTAATTGAATGAGTTGTCGGATTTTATAAGTTTTGTTGGATTCCGAAGCGCGGGCCCGGGTTTGAATTTTTGGTTGACTTTGGGCTTTGATTGAAGATTCGACCTTTATCATTTGGAATTGTTTCCTTCGACATTATTTGATGTATTTGAGTTGCTTTTGGCTAGTTTCGAGCCGTTCGGAGGTCGGTACGCACAAGATGGCATCTGTGGAGTATCGTTTGGCTTGCTCGGTACTGGATTTGGCTTGTTCGAGGTAAGTAACATTCTAAACTTGGTGTTGAGGGTATGAAACCCTGAATATGTGTGTTATGTGTTTGGTGTTGAGGTGACGCATATGCTAGGTGACGAGCGTGCACCGTGTGAATTGTGACTCAGTTATTTTTGTGGTACTGTGTAGTTACCTAATCTTATCTGTAACCATGAAATCTCTACGTGCTAGAGTAATTGAGTTGTGATCCATGTTAGACATCATTCTTAGGCCACATGCTGGTACTGTTGGGACCCACAAAAGTCGTGTTACATGTTGAATTAATTGCTTAATTTGAAATTTATACTCAGTCACAACTATTATTTGTATATCATATCTTAGTCTCTGTTGTCTTATATTCATACATCATATCATCACTGTTTGGGCTGATTATCATGATTCTTGTGAGCCCGAGAGACTAGAGAGATTGATGGCTGAGTGAGACCGAGGGTCTGTTGTGAGCGATATTTATGGGATCGGGGTGCATGCCACAACAGGCTTTATTAATTCATGTAAGGATTTGGCTTATTATAGCGCTTGGGCTGGATCGGCCCCTCCGAAGTCTACACATCCACAATGGGCGCAATTGTTATGGAATTTTGGCTGGATCTACCCTGGATTAATTTGCATTGGGATGGACTTGCCCTGGATTTATTTATGTTTGGGTTGGATCTGCCCTGGGCTGGATCTGCCCTATACAGTACTGAGTGACTGAGTGTGCTGAGTATTGAGCATGGTGAGTGAGAATACGAGGCAGTGAGATTGAGTACTCTGAGAGTGTGAGTACACGAGTTCATAACTGAGGTGCATTGCATGTGACATGCGTACTTGAGATACATGCATAGAGATGCATTTCCTTATGCTACCCGATTTTGGTGACATTCATGATTTTACTTGCATATTGACATGTAGGTATATAGATGTACTTTCCTCATGATATTTGAAAATGAAACATCTTAATTATTGTCGAAAGATTTTGGAAAAAATCACAGTTTTTCTGATTCACTCATATTTTGGTGATTTCGATGAAGGATTTGGGTTTTACTGTTATACCTGAAAAGCATGACTATTTTCCGTAACCGTTAACGAGCTGAGCATCACACCTATGAGTTATTTGTTTTACCACTTTTATTATATTATTATGAACTGTTGTTGTCTTTTGGTGTTGGACTCTGACCTTTGTCCCAACTCGTCACTACTTTCAACCTAAGGTTAGGTTTATTACTTATTGAGTACATGGGGTCGGTCGTACTCATACTATACTTCTGCACCCTGCGTACAAAATTTTGATGCTGATGTTGCTGTGTATGGCGCGAGCTCGCATTGAAGACGTACCTGGTTTCAGTCATTACTGCCTTTTGTTCTATGTAGCTTTAGAATTATTAATCTGTTCATGTATATTTTAAATAAATGGTGTATTTATTTCATACCAACTTTGTAAACTCTAAATCTTAGAAGCTCGTGATTTGTACTACCAGTCCTTAGAAATTTTTTGTATAAAAGCACAATTGTATTATCATTACTTCTCTTAATGAATCTATTGGAATTGGTTTATTGTTAATTGGCTTACCTAGCGGGTTGGGGTTAGGTGCCATCATGACTAGTTGGATTTTGGTCCGTGACAAGTTGGTATCAGAGCTCTAGGTTCATAGGTTCTATGAGTCATGTGCAAGTCTCTAGTAGAGTCTTGTGGATCGGTATGATGACATCCATACCTATCTTTGAGAGGCTACATGGCATTTAGGATATACTTCCCATCTTTCTTTCTTTATCGTGTGGCATTGATTCAGCTTGAAGCGTATCGCTTTGAATTCCTTCCACTCACTCATATGCGTACGTGAGTGCTCGGTATCAGTTATTGTCACGACCCAAAATTCGACTAGTCGTGATGGCACGTAACCCAACCCGCTAGGTAAGCCAATTATCAAATATCTAATTCCAATAACACTTATTGAAGCAATTTAAGTAAAGAAAAATCTTAATCTTATACATTCCCTAAGAACCGGTAGTATAAATCATGAGATTCTAAGAATGGAGTATACAAAGCTGGTATGAAGTAAATACATCATCTGTTCGAAAGGTACATAAATAGAGTTTTATGAATCTAAGGCAACCATGAACAAAAGACAGCAACAACCGGAACGTAGGTACATCTTCAGATCCAGCACCCAACGAACACAACAACATCAACAACCAATATATACATGCAAGGTGCAGAATTGTAGTATGAATACAACCGACCCTATGTACTCATTAATTAACAAACCTAACCTTAGGTTGAAAGTAGTGACGATCTTGTACCAAAGTCGGGTCCAAAACCAATAGTCCACAACGATCCATAACAATGTAAAGCAAGTAATACCAGAAGCAACTCAAAGATAAAATGCTCAGCTAAATCAAGATTTCTAAAAATATTTCTTCCTTTCAAGTAATTCCCAAATCGTTTACCGAAGTTGCCAAAAATATGAGTAAGTTTGAAAACAATAATTTTTCCAAAATCCTTTCAATTGTAATTAAGATGCCTCATTTCCTCCCCATATAACCAATGTAAAACAAATGCATCACTATGCCCATATATCAACACGTATGAGAAATCATGAATAACGTGATACCGTACAGTATGAGGAAAATACATCTCTATGCATGTATGTCATGTGTGCATATCAATG